GGGGGGGTTGTTTTCTGGTAATGAGCAGATAGAAGGTAACAGTACCAAAGTTTTACATACAGTAGAATGAGAAATCAGTCCCCTCTTCATGAAACATTTAAAACTTTTTTGCTCAATTGTTACTTAAGTCCTCCCAACTATGAAATGAGTTCTAGTACTAAAAATCAACATCGTTCAAGCCTACAAACTTTACGTTTTTCTGAAACCAACATTTTTTATTTAGGCTTTTGGAACCTGATAGTACAGCCCAAGTCTAGTGCAGACAAGCAAACATCAAAGCAGCAACCTATTGACTATTAATTGTACGAGTCAATCAAGTAGCAAAATACTGTATAACATCTTTTCCACCTTACGACGACAGGCTGAGAGCTATGGGGCAAAAACATACTTTTTGCCAAGCTGCTTACATGCATATAGAATGCATACTATTATTACCTTTTCTCTAACCTCTTTGCATTTGTCTCTCCTTAGAGAGAAAGTAGGAATGATTTGTTCCTAAGCATTTGGAATGCACCTAACACTGCGGTTGCTACCATAAATAATACCTGCTATGAGCTAGCTTGGGAAAGAGCGCGCACAAGAGATGAGCTTGGACCCCATAACTAACTCACAGGACTCTCAGGGTGTCTTCTATCTTCTTTGAAAATATCGTTTTTAGCATTCCTATACTTCTAAATCAAGCACTCCATTTTCTACATAACAAATGAACCATGAATCACCAATACCACAGCAAGTTTATGGAATTAGATACTTACATTCTCATTTCTTTTTAGAAGATCATCATCGTTATATAAAGGCAGACTTGTCACCATCCATCCAGTACACAACTTAATCACACCCATTAACTGAGGACTTCCTGCAAACACAGCAGCAACAGGAGCCTGTCTTCTGTAAAAAGACAGCTTCACTTCATGCATCTGAATATATAGATATCTTTTCTAAACAATATTTTGCATCAGTTCTAACACTCAAATGAATTTTATGTGTTATGGTAAAAATTCTAGTCTGTTAACTAGAACTACATACCATACATTTAAGTGAAATTACCATCCTCAGAAATCAGATATATAGTGCATTAATAGCATGATGGCTGTGCTTTCAATGCTGGAAGGTAGCCCAGAACCAATTAAAAAGGCCTCTTGATAGAGCATTTGGTGAAAGAGGTCTGGACAGCTATTCACACCTACATCTTTTACTACATGAAAGTTCACTTGCTGTGGTCTTGAAAGGATGAGAACTTTCATTTCCAGGTTAGATTCTGCTTCCCATAAGAGGCATGAGAGAAGGGGAAAGTAGGAAAAGCAATGCAGTAACAACTGAGAAAATGGAAGCCTCAGAATAAGAAAAGAAACTGCATATTTACACATAGAAAACATAGCTCCTGCTGAAAAAAATAAAATAAAATCTTTCAAAAAAAATCTGTTATACTTAGAAAATGTACAAATATATTTTAGCTGCCTGAATACAAAAGGCTATTAAAAAGTTCCTTTCTTCCCACTCTGCTGCAAAAAAACCCAATCCTTTCTAAATAATCAATTTCATGGCATCATATTCTTTATCCCAGGATAGGTTTTACTTTATTCAGAGATGTGCTGGTAAAGAACAATTATTTATGTGCTTGTTTATATATACACAGAAGGAATGTACTGACGGTATATTTCCCAATCTACTAGTCAACATTAAGGGATTTTTTTATGGTAAGTAGGGAGGTAAGGAAAAAGGGAGGTATTTATTGGGATTTAATTTCATTTTTTGATTATTTACAGGTCTCATTCTGGATTGAAGAGAACATTTTGTGTAGGATTATTTTTAATTGACGGCAAACACGCTTAGAACCTAGGACAGGCATTTTTCCTGTATTTAAAAAAACCTACAATAAATGTGTTCTCCAATAATTACAAGAAAGTGACTTGTAACCATAATATTTAATTTAAATTATAATAGAGGTATCTAGTTCAGTATTCAAAAAGTCTTATTTTCATTAAAAATACAGAACAGCAGCAGAAAACTAATGATAGCCAAACTGCTCTTTGCAGAGTGTCTTTCAAAGCAATTCACTATGATTAATTATGTACTTAACGCATGATACATGTAAGCTAATACAAGAGTCATTAGGGGCTTGGCATTATTCCATTTGCTGCCACAAATGGCAGTGACAGATAACCTACACTGCTATTAATAGTAAGTAAGAATTGGCTGGAACACCCCAATTGTCTTTTCAAAAGATGCATAGGTTAACAATTAAAAACCTAAATACAGTGCACAGCATCCTTCTAAAAATAGGAGATAAAGGATATTAACCCATGTGAACTTTTAGGCAGCTCGCTGATATTAAAAAAATAAGTGCTTTACTTTAAACTGCATGCACCCCTGTTCCAAGCCCAGAAGAGGCAGCATGTTAGTTGGACCCAGCTCACCTGATGTCTGTATAGATCAGGCACTTCAAGCAGGGCTTGTTTGGTACTTTCATCTAACAGCTCATTGACTCAGCTTTAGATAAAAGTGCCAAAAAGCTCTGTTGAAGCGCCCGATTTATACAAACACTGGGTTGAAGTAAAATGCTGCTTCTTCTGGTAAAGCCCACTTTTTTGTTTTGTTTTTCACATCTGCAAACAGCCTCACTCTCAACAGTGCAATGCCAAGTGAAGTCAACAAAAGATGGTCTGGGTGAGGGCAAAACAGGACCCCTAGCTCTCAATGGGGAAGTAGGAAGGCTGCTATCAAGAGATAGCATTCATCCGCTGAAAACCAGAAAGAGTATCTTTGGGCACCGTTTGGCCAGCCTAGTGAAGAGAGCTTTAAACTAGGTTTTACAGGGGATGGTGAACAAAACCTTGCAGCAACAGACCAAATGATCCAGAGGGGAGAGAATCAGAAGCAGCAGTTCAGCTAAGGGAAAGGGACACAACCAGAGGACAGCAGCAAGGAAAGAAAAATGGAAACAAGTAGATCAGAATACAAAATTTGGAACAGACTGCTTAGGGAAGTTGTGGACTATCCATCACTAGAGATGTTCAAGAAGAGGTTGGACAGCCACTGAGTCAGAGATGATCTAGGCATAGTTATGCCTATTTTCTATCATGGGTATTTCCTATGCTTCTGGACTTTGCTGGTCGCATCCCGCCCCCCTTTTTTTTTTCTGCTGTGTGTATCAGGGTGTTTTTAAGCCTTCCCAGAGGCATCAGGTGTTAGCTACAGCTAAGGCTCGGGACTTCAACTAGGATGCACAAATTCTCTTGACAGAAGCAAAGCCAGGGGTTCCTGGATAAAGGGTCTTGCCCTTCTGCTCAGGAACAGACCGATCACCATATTTGGGGTTACAAAGAAATTATACCCCATGGTCAGATTGGTATGAACTGTGGGGGTTTTTGCCTTCCTCTGTAATGGGGGGCGTGGCCCTCTACTCAGCAAGTGTACGTTGTCAACATTTTATAGAAGCAGGACATTGGCTACAGTGTTTCTCCTGCTTTACCTGTGCCAGGTTAGGGTGTTAGGTTTATGTTGTAAGGGTAATCTTATGGTTGTACAGGATGGTTTGGATAGGCATAATACTTCCTCAGGCAAGGGGTTGGACTAGATGACCTCTGGAAGTCCTTTCCAACTTTACTTCTCTATGACTTCTATGATTTCTATGAATGTACACAAATGTGAGAAATATGGGGAACAAAAAAAGATGAGCTGCAAGTCACAGTATGAAAAGAACTATGATCTGATTGGTATCACAGAGACTTGGGTGGGAGAGCTCTTACAACTGCAACTTCAACATTGAGGGGCACACTCATTTTGGAAAGACAGGTTTGAGATAAAAGATGTTGACCTCATGTCAAAAACAAAGACCTGTTCCCTGGTTTATGAGAAAGAAAAGAGCAAATCAGTATGTATTTGGGTGCAAATAAAAGGTGAAAGATGCAGCACTGATATAGAGGTTGGGATTTATTATGAAGTCAAGAAGAAAAGGCAGAAGAGGCACTCCTCAAAGTGATGACAAAATTATCTGAAAATTATGAGATGGTACTGGTGGGAGACTTCAATTTTCCAGAAATCTGCTGCAAGAATAATGCAGCCAAACAATGTTGAGCAAGTTTCTAATCTGTGTGGAAGATAAATTTCTATTTCAGAAAGTTGAGGATACAACTACCAGTTCCCCCATCTGGGTTCCTATCCTGATCAACAGGGAAGAACTGGTGGAGGATGTGAAGCTGATGAGAAACTTGGTAGGGAGTGATCATAATATGATAGAATTAAATGATCCTAAAATGAAGAAAACATGAGGTCAGCAGAACTGAAGACAATGGATTTAAAAAAAGATGGATTTCAACTGACTCAAGGAGATAGTAAGGCATGGTGCCATGGAAGGACAGACTGAAGGATAAAAGAACCCATAAGGGCAGGAAGCTTCTAAAAGATATAGTACTGGGAGCCCAACAGGAAGCTATTCTGACATGATAGAAGCCCAAGAAGAATGGCAAGAGACAATGTGGCTGCACAAGAAGCTTCTAGGATGCCTCAAAGAATAGAGGCAATGGAAAGATGGACAGATCATCAAGGAAGCATATCAGGAAATAACAAATACGTTCAAGGACCAATCCAGAAGGCAAATATTTTAAAAAGAGCTGCACATTAAGCAGCCAATTAGTTCAACTGGTTAAAGCGTACTATTAATAATGCCAAGGTAACAGGTTCCATCCCCACATGGGACACAAGACCTTTCCTGCTTTGGACAGGGGATTGGGCTAGAAGTCCCTTCCAGCCCTACTTCTCTACGATTTCTACGATGAGGAAAGTTATAAACAACAAGACGAGGTTCTATAACTATGTTGGCCAAAGACCAAGGAAGCTACAGTTCCACTGTTAAATAGCAAGGGCAACCAGAAGATGCAAATATGGCAAAGCTGTTCAACAGCTACTTTGTCTTGGTCTTCAAACAAAAAAACAATAAACTGCAACCAGGTAGCTAATAAGAATTATTTGGATAAGGAAGGGGATAAACTGAGAGATTAGATAACACAAGACAGTCTGAGAACTTTTTATGGGTCTCAATAAATTCAAGTCAGCAGGGCCCATTTAATTTAATCCTAAGGTACTGAAGCAACTGGAAGAACTCTCAGGGACCTTGACAATAATATTTACAATGTCACGGGTGAGGTACCAGAGCGCTGAAAAGGGGCCAAAGCGCCCTTTTTTTAAAAAGGCAAAAAGGGGGACCTGGGAACTATACACTGGTTAGCCTACCTCTCCATACCCAGGAAATTTCTGGAGCATATCATAAGTAAGTCCACTGGGCAAGTAAGTTTCTAGAAAAGAAAAGGGTTATCCAAAGGAGCCAGAATGAATGTATTAAAAGCAAATGCCAAACAAACTTCATCTCCTTCTCTGACACAGTTAACTAGTTGGGTGGATGAAAGGAATGCAGTGGATCTAGTGCATCTGGACTTCAGCAAGGCTTTTGACCTTCTCATGGTCACTGGAAAAATGCAGGCTGGACAAAACTATTGTAAGGTGGACAGACAACCAATAGCCATAAACAAAAGATAATTAAATGAATCCATGTCAGAATTGCAGGAGATTTTGAGAAGCATTCCACAGGGGTCTGTCCTGGGCCCAGTGCTACTTAAGATGTTTTATAATTTCGATGCTGGAATAGAAAACTCCTTGAGCAAAATTTACAGGTGACAATACTGGGAAGGACTGTGAACATACTGGAGGACAGAAGCACAATTCAGAAGGATCCTGACAGATTGGAAAGCTGGGGTGGAGCTAAAAGGATGAAGTTCAGCGCTGACAAATACAAGTGGATAAACCTTAGGAAGATTAACTGAAAACACAAATACAAAATGGGTGACAATTTGCTGAATGTCAGGATTAGGGAGAAATCCTGGTGGATCAGA